CTGGGCAGGTTGATGTTATAGTTCTTAAAATCAAACAAAGAGAATGTCTTTATTATAATGACCAGAGCATCATAACGATCCTGTATCATTATTCACACCCAGTTCTCTCAGCACCTTAAAAACATCATCCTTATCAAAATCATCATTCAGTTTATCCACTGCAGAACATCACCTCTTTCTCATCAGTCACATTATGGGCACAGGTTTGGTTTGAAAGGAGCCACTGTTTTGCCAGGCGTGAGAAAGTGCCATAGTTTGTCCATGTGATCAGCTCTGTTGTGAACATGTTCCACTGATGGACGGATGCGCATGAAAAGGCTGAGTTTCCAAATTCTGCTTTTACATTTTTTTTCTGTAAAAAGTAAACAAATGTGCGCAAAGCTGCATTAAACTCAGTGGTGGAGCGTCAGGACCTGCAAGGCCTTCTCTGCTGGCCTAAAAGAAATACCTGAATCACAGACTGCTGTGAATTATATTATTGTTATTAAATATTCCAAATGGTCTGTCCTCTTCCTTTCAGAGCTTTTCCGATGTTTGTGCTGCTTCCAGACCTGTATTTTCATATTAAAGCATTTGACCAATCACATTTCAGCTGCCACTTTTTGAACGCAAAATAAATGTCCCTGAAACTGTTGCTTCAACCAATCAGATTTTGAGTTGGTGTCACCAGGTCCTTTAGCAGACGTACAACGTCACCGGATTCAGACCTGTGATTGGACAGTCAGAGGACGAACCAGCCAAAGCAGCAAACTGCATCTGTAGAGGAACCAGGACTAAACCAGGTCTAAACCAGGACTACACCAGGTCTAAACCAGGACTAAACAAGGACTAAACCAGGTCTAAACCAGGACTTTTTGTCTAAACCAGGATCTTAAACCAGTGACTAATCTTGTACTTGAGAGCAGAGACTGAGTGAGAGAGTGTCCGCAAAGCGCGATCGAGTGACAGCTGCACTGAGCCCCATGTGGCCGCTGGGGCCTGTGCTCTGTGCAGCGCAGAGCCGCACCCCGGGCAGTGTGGAGCCCCAGCGCTGTCGTTTTCCTCTGCAGTCACTCGACAATCTATGCAGGTGCACCTTCGGGCCAGTCCCGACAATCAGTCCTGGTTTAGTTCTGGTTTAGTCCTGGTTTAGCAGCCCAGCGCTCCTCACTTCTTCTCCGTGCTCCGCGCACCCTCCTCTCCTCACTTCTACGTGCACAGAATCTCCACGGCTCTTTATACTGTGTATAATGGAACTATAAAATAGTTATTGAGGAGGAGTATTGAGGATTGTTTCAGACGGAGCACTACTGAAGGCCTAGGTGTGAAATGCACATCCTCCACTGTATTAAACACATTATTACTCAATATATATTTGAGTCATCCTCGTAGGAAATACAAAACAAACTTACATTCACATTCACATTCATAATCCACATTTACCAAGACAGAGAGCCAATGCAAAGCGAGTTACACCACGATCTGCCAATAGATCATGGACGCCTGGACTAAGGATCAGTATCAAGTGTCGTCTGTTTGTTTCTCTTAATGCTCCTTATAATCTGATGCACCTTATGTATGAAAATAGAGGAGAGAATTCAACATTATTGATATTGCTACTTATAATCCAGTGTGCCTTATAGTCTGAAAAAATACGGTAATACAGGCCCACTGAGATGATTTGTACCCAGAGCCCCAGAATGTTGTCCTACCTCCCTGTCTGGGTGCAGGCGGATAAGGTCACACTTGTGTTATGGAGATCTTTTGTAGATATTTTAACTTTATGAGTCAGTTTATATCAGAATCAGAATCCATTTTATTGCAATGGCCAAAGAACAAAATTCACAAACAGGAATTTGCTTTGTGGTTTTGGTGCAAGATTAAATAAAGAATAACAATAAAAAATAAATAAGAGAAAAATAAGAGCATGGATTAAAATAAGGTAAAAATAGTCTTTGATTTGCAATACAAAATATACAGCACGGGTAGAAAAACTGTACAAAAGCTGTCAGGCAAGTAGGTTAATTAGGGTTGTTGCATCACATTAACAGGTGTTATAAAGTAACAGGTGATATAAAATGACAGGTGTTATAAAATGACAGTTGAGGAACACGTCTACACAAGGAACATCCAAGGTTCTCTCAGAAATGATTCTACTAAATTCTCCAGTTGTCCTGTAGTGTGTGGCGGCCTCTAGACTCACATGGTCACAGTAGCTCATACATAATAATACATGTGCATTAGATTCAGAGTAATTATAGTGGCAAATTTAGAGAAAGACTTGTGTCAAATAAGATAGAGATACACAGATGTATTAGCCTGGTATGTCCAGACTGACTGTGTGTGTTTTCTGCACAGGGGTCAGTCTGGTCTCATGTCGTCTGTCATGTCTTGAACCAGAACCAAACTGGATACATTTAGGCTGCGCCCACACGACAACACTCCTGGATTTTTTTTCTTTTATGTTCTGAAAAAAATTCACGTCCACACATGTGTCGAATTAATAAACATTCACAACCAGACGACAACAGAGCACTGAGTGAAAATGTAATACATCTGCCACACCTGTATGTGGCGCTGTTAAAAATGATAATAATATTTAATAATGTAGATCTCATCACTGTTTACCACCGTTTCACCACTTTAAGGTAATTTAGTTTATTTTCGATGTATCCCAGAAATATTGCTGTTTTGTTTTGCAAAATTTAAACATAAGTTTTTGTTTTTAGCCTTAAAATTTGGATGAGAATTATTAGAATAACTTACACAATATTTGCTCAACTTAAAGTGTTGAAAATGCAGGATATTGGTGACTTCAGTCTCCTCAAAGTCATGTATAAAACAAAGTGCAATATATGACCTGTAAATATTCAAAGACTGTTTGAGATGAGATTGAGCCACTGCAATTTAAAAGGAACCTACATGTTTAAAAACCCAGAATCAGAACCAAGGTTATGGAACGAAATGTCGCAGTGAAAGGAGTTCACTTATGGAACAGTCTTGACAAAGAAATAAAAGAATCAAGTACAATGATGACATTTAAAAAAACATATCAAATTGAATGCAGTGTGTATGTATGAAAAAGAAAACTAAGTTGTTGTGTATAATAATGAAGATTTACTGTTTGCAGTTGATCAGTAATTGTGCCTGAACTGATCTGGAATGTTTAGTAACATCAGAGTTGATGTTTTGTCTTGAAAAAGAAAAGGGGGGCAGATAACATAACAATTTTTTTCTTCTTTCTGCTCCTTTTTATTCATTTCTTGTGTGTCTGATGTTGTGACACTGTCGATGTTTTTATGCTTTATGAAATAAATAAATAAATAACTTAAATCAAACAAAATCCAACAGTTTACTTACCCGGGTGTAATCTTTGTTATTGATCCATGTGTGGAATCTGTGTAGTGTGTGTTGTTAGCAGGAGCGGCTCCGTAGGCTGCACCTGTCACATTTGGGCAATGTTCTTGTGGTCAGCGAAAGCTAATCCAAGGGCTGCAGACTTTGCTGGGGCAGGAGGACCCTGATGATGATGATGGGGTCATAACATCATCGTTTTCCATCGTTTTTTCGTTTTTGACCACACGACAAGGCAACGCCAGTGTTCTCAGATTTCTCCACTCTGGAACACGTTCTCAAAAAACACCCGAAACGCCGGCTCTGTGTGGATGAAAGGCCAAAATGAAGACAAACTTCATCGTTTTGATCAAAAAACGTTGTGGTGTGGACGGGCCCTAAGATTTGTTTTGTTTTTTATTTTGTTTTCAGTAACACATGTGAAATGAAGGGGCTTTATATAAATTTTGTCCTTTCTTTTTTCCTCATAAGCAGCCATATTTGTTTTGATATGAACGGACCAAGTCTCTAGTCTCTGATTGGCTAATCCACCTGTCAATCACGCCCGTCTGAACTCTGGGAGATTCACCAGTGACCAGACTCACATCTTTATAAGTATTATAAAAATAATGAAAAATCTCTATTCATAAAGCACTTTTAAAAACAGGTTTTGCAAAGTGTTGTACAAAAAGCAAAGAAAAATACAAATATCATCCAGAAAACACAAAAACACACAATGAAGCAAGAATTCAATTAATTATTATAAATTAGTTAATTAAACAGAATAAAAATAAATAAGGAATAAAGTCAAGTTAAAACCAGTTAAAGGCAGAACAACTGATAAAAATGAGCCTTAAGAAGTAATTTAAAGATGATCCTGATGGTGTGAGTCTTATCTCCTCAGGCAGGTCGTTCCAAAGTCGAGGCGCTTGGACTGAAAAGACTCCATCACTTTTTGTCTGGAGTCTGGACTTTGGAACAGTCACAGGGACCTGAAGACCTGAGGATCTGCGGCTGCAGGAGGCTCAGGAGGCTCGGACGGGGTTCAAACTTCTGAAATGTAAATCTATTGATGAAGTGTGTTTTCAGGATCCCAGGTAACAGATGCACAAGCAGAATAAAATCTGAATTATGAATCTGAAAGACATTATATCTGGACACTTGATGGTAACAGAGGAGACTGAAATAGTCCTGACTTAAAGAGTGACTTGGAGCTTGAACCTGATCTCCAGCGCAGTGACTTGGCATCGGAGCCAGAGCACTGGTCTGAACCCCAGCACAACACAACAGGTTCATTAACATGCTGGACACACACTTCCTCACACACACAGACACACATATATGCACACACAGACATGCGCACACACACACACACACACACACACACACACCCAAACACACACACACACATTGAGTGTCAAAGTCAGTGTACTGGATAGTTTTTGCACCTATGTTTTACCTTTTGTCTACTTTTTGTTTCCATTACGGTTCTTAGGAATCCACCATTTTACTAAAAACTAAGCCCAAAATAAAGTGAGTGAGAAGTGGAGTGAGCAGATCTTCTTTTCTGATTGGCTGCACCCCTCTCCCCCTCTCTCCCCTTCTCCTCCCCTCTGTCTCTCTCTCTCCCCTCACATCTGCCCCTTTATAAAAGCACTGCTCCCTGGAGCCTCTGCTCCATTCAGACCTGCTCCTCCTCACCTCATATTCAGCTCCTCTTCTTCATCTGAGGTAGGACCCAGCCCTGAGCTCGCCCCAGGGTTTGCTGTGACTGTGCTGTGTGTGTGTTGGTGGTGGGAGGGGCCGATGGTGCACATTGGCAGCTTCACCACCAGCGAGCGTGGACTGAGAGACTGAACAAATAATGCACACAAACTCTAAGAGACGAAACTAATGCACCACTAACATCTGCGGTTTGTTCTTTCATTCTAAGATACTTTATTAGATGACGGTTAGACACTTTGCTCAAGTGACTGAAAACAACTCAACATGTATATATATATATATATATATATATATATATATATATATATATATATATATATATATATATATATATATATATATATATATATATATTAATGTAACAAAACATAGAAATTTGAATTTGATCAAATGTGCAGCTGAGCTCACAGTGAGTTGCATTGTTCGATATCTAAGGAGAGAAGGAAGAATTTCACCTCACGCTGTGTTTTTTATTTTTCTCACTAATACATTGCAGTAACTGTACTGCAATAAAGTTACTCCACATATACACTACCAGTCAGAAGTTTGGACACACCCTCTCATTCTCTCTCTTTCAACATTTTGTTTACTTACAGAAGACATCAGATTTAGGAAGAAATAATTAATAATGTAAAAAAGAATAACTCCACAATAAAAAAAAAAGTTATTTAACTTTTTTTTTCTTTACTACATAAACATAAAGGGGGAACATAAGTGAATGAGAGAGCGTGTGCACACTTTTGAGTGATAGTTTATTTATTTTCAGTACATAGATTTAGTTACTTCACAATTCTGAGAATGCATTTCCAGTGTGCGCAGACAGAAGATCCTGCAGCGTGGCCATGACGGAGCTGGAGACTGCCCTGAACAGCCTGGTCCAAGTGTTCCAGCAGCACTGTGCCTCAGAGGAGGAGCCCCCCCGGCTCAGGAGGAGTCAGCTCAGGGGGCTGCTGCACGACCAGCTGCCCCACCTCATGGAGGTAAGAGTCATGACACCCACACTCACAAGTGCACCCTATAAACATGTTTTCAGTTTTGAAAAGTGTTGGTGACCTTATACTACCTGGTGGATGACAGACTGTATGAAGAGGAGGACTGTGTGTGAGGAGTGTGACTTCACCCATAGCCTTTGGCTCCAGTCAAATGCAGCTCATTGAAGTTTCCAGTTCGAGGGGCCGATTTGGAGCCAAGTTCCATATTTGGAATTCCAACCGCAAGTATCATAGCAACCAAATTCATAGCCAATTGGGAGCTTGGCTGTTGAAGGCAGTGCTCCTTCCCAGGAACAGGTGCTTAGCAACGCCGTCAATCAATCTGACGCTAATGCTAGCAGGAGCAACTTCGAGGAAAGAAGGCGCCTGATTTGTACAATATTTATGAACTTTTCAGACTAAAATGAAGAGTCTGACAGAAGCAGCTAAGGAGCAAGTTTTTTTTTTTTTTATAGAAACTTCATTGGAGCCAGAATCAACAGAGCCAAAGCTCGTCCATGCTCCATGGCTCCATGTGGTTATTTGTACAGACGGTGCTGAGTAAAGTGTCCAGTAGGGGGAGCCATTTACAACTGAAATCAGTGGAGAAGTTTTATAACATTTGAATGAAGAGTTTACTGTAACAGGGATTTATGTGAAAAGTAAAAGCTGGAAAGAGAAAATAATCTGTGAAAAGGGACCAAATACAAGAGATAATAGTGATGTCATCACACAGTCACACAATGATTTCTTTTAGTTATGAGAACTTTTTGACACTCGAGAGCAAAATTCTGGACCCTGGGTCAGCCCACACTGCTTCTGCCAAGTCACTACAATCATCATATGTAGAACAGCAAAGGAGAAGGAACTTCTGCTCTCAGGAGTCCTCTGCTACTTGACAAACATTTGCTAGTCTTTCATTTTTTCCTCTTGGGGCATCAGGCATCTTGGAGCAGGGACTTTTTTAAGAACCATTTTCTAACTACTTCCAACAGAGCTGAGTTTGTACTGCAACATGAACACCAGGCTCCCTCTTCTATAGAGGAAAAGCATGTGCAGGGTACAGTGTGACTGTGTACATGTGCGGGGTACAGTGTGACTGTGTACATGTGCAGAATACAGTGCGACTGTGTACATGTGCAGGGTACAGTGTGACTGTGTACATGTGCGGGGTACAGTGTGACTGTGTACATGTGTGGGGTACAGTGTGACTGTGTACATGTGCAGGGTACAGTGTGACTGTGTACATGTGCAGAATACAGTGCGACTGTGTACATGTGCAGGGTACAGTGTGACTGTGTACATGTGCGGGGTACAGTGTGACTGTGTACATGTGCGGGGTACAGTGTGACTGTGTACATGTGCGGGGTACAGTGTGACTGTGTACATGTGCAAGGTACAATGTGACTGTGTACATGTGCAGGGTACAATGTGACTGTGTACATGTGACTGTGTACATGTGCAGGGTACAGTGTGACTGTGTACATGTGCAAGGTACAGTGTGACTGTGTACATGTGCAAGGTACAGTGTGACTGTGTACATGTGCGGAGTACAGTGTGACTGTGTACATGTGCAGAGTACAGTGCGACTGTGTACAGTGCGACTGTGTACATGTGCAGGGTACAGTGTGACTGTGTACATGTGACTGTGTACATGTGCAGGGTACAGTGCGACTGTGTACATGTGCGGAGTACAGTGTGACTATGTACATGTGCAAGGTACAGTGTGACTGTGTACATGTGCAGAGTACAGTGTGACTGTGTACATGTGCAGAGTACAGTGTGACTGTGTACATGTGCAGGGTACAGTGCGACTGTGTACATGTGCGGGGTACAGTGCGACTGTGTACATGTGCAGAGTACAGTGCGACTGTGTACATGTGACTGTGTACATGTGCAGGGTACAGTGTGACTGTGTACATGTGACTGTGTACATGTGCAGGGTACAGTGCGACTGTGTACATGTGCAGAGTACAGTGCGACTGTGTACATGTGCAGGGTACAGTGTGACTGTGTACATGTGCAGAGTACAGTGCGACTGTGTACATGTGCAGAGTACAGTGCGACTGTGTACATGTGCAGGGTACAGTGTGACTGTGTACATGTGCAGAGTACAGTGTGACTGTGTACATGTGCAGGGTACAGTGCGACTGTGTACATGTGCAGAGTACAGTGTGACTGTGTACATGTGCAGGGTACAGTGTGACTGTGTACATGTGCAGAGTACAGTGCGACTGTGTACATGTGCAGGGTACAGTGTGACTGTGTACATGTGACTGTGTACATGTGTACAGTGCGACTGTGTACATGTGCAGAGTACAGTGCGACTGTGTACATGTGCAGAGTACAGTGCGACTGTGTACATGTGACTGTGTACATGTGCAGGGTACAGTGTGACTGTGTACATGTGACTGTGTACATGTGCAGGGTACAGTGTGACTGTGTACATGTGCAGGGTACAGTGCGACTGTGTACATGTGCGGGGTACAGTGCGACTGTGTACATGTGCGGGGTACAGTGCGACTGTGTACATGTGCAAGGTACAGTGCGACTGTGTACATGTGCGGGGTACAGTGCGACTGTGTACATGTGCGGGGTACAGTGTGACTGTGTACATGTGCAAGGTACAGTGCGACTGTGTACATGTGCAGAGTACAGTGCGACTGTGTACATGTGCGGTGTACTGTGTACATGTGTGTGACTGTGTACATGTGCGGGGTACAGTGTGACTGTGTACATGTGCGGGGTACAGTGTGACTGTGTACATGTGCAGGGTACAGTGTGACTGTGTACATGTGCAGGGTACAGTGTGACTGTGTACATGTGCAGGGTACAGTGTGACTGTGTACATGTGCAGGGTACAGTGTGACTGTGTACATGTGCAGGGTGGTACTAGATCCACGACAGGAGGGCAGTGCTCAGCAGCTGTGCCCTGGGCTCTGCCCTGTGGTCCTGTAAATGGATAGAATGATACCGTAGATGTATGTGCTTATATATTTGTATGTGCTCATATATACTGTGTGTGTGTGTGTGTGTCTACGTGTGTGTGTCTACGTGTGTGTGTCTACGTGTGTGTGTGTCTGTGTGTGTGTGTGTGTCCGCAGCACGCCTCAGACAAAGCCTCCCTGGACAGTCTGATGGACAGTCTGGACCATGACGGAGACACTCACTGTGACTTCAACCACTTCATGGCTCTTGTCTCCTCGGTGACCGTCTGCTGCCACGAGTTTTTTCAACACCACCATGGGCATGATCACGGGCATGACCACGGGCACGAGCATGACCACGGGCACGAGCATGACCATGGGCACGAGCATGATCACGGGCACGAGCATGGGCACGGGCATGAGCATGGTCATGAACATGGGCACGATCACGGGCATGAGCATGATCACGGGCATGAGCATGATCACGGGCATGAGCATGACCACGGGCATGAGCATGACCACGGGCATGAGCATGGCCATGGGCATGAGCACGAGCATGGCCATGACCACGGGCACGAGCACGGGCATGACCATGGGCACGGGCATGAGCACGGGCATGAGCAGGAGCATGATCATTAGACACAGGCCCAGAGTGGCGCTGCTTTAGGGCTTAGTCGTCCTTTTCCTGCTTTGTCTGTGAGTCTCCTCCTGTTTCTATTGTCACACACATTTGATGAAATCACTTTCACTTTAGAAATATGAAAAAGGATCTTCTAACACTTGCATGCTGCCCGCCTGACACAAAACAGACCCATCTACTCTTGTGTTGCATCTTGGTACCATTTTATAATAACTACACCTTAATTAGCCTTAACAAAGCATGAACAAAACATTACATAATAACCTTAGTATTTAGGAGGTAGTGTTTGAGTATTAATCAAGTCATAACTGAGCCTGAATTATTCTTTATAAACTTGTATTGATTAAGAATGAAGTCCATACTTTTTTAAGGCTGGTTAAGGTGTACGCTTGTGAAGTGTTGTGAATTGTTGTATGTCCCACACATTAGTCTGATCGAGGCCTTATCTCTGCATGTTTCTCTGAAAGAGGCAAATAGTTTGAAGCAAATAAAAATAGTTTAAAAAAAACATGTGAATCTTGTTCATTTTTTTTATTTAATAATATAGAAAACCTTATTCCACAGTCCTTTTGCCTCCTGTTAGAAAGTTAAAAGACCAGAAAACTATTTCTTTCACATATATCTGAGCAAAATACAGAGGATTACCATCACGACTGAACTCCACTCAGGTCTGTGAAATTTGTGAAAAGTGCTCAAAAACAGAGGTGGGTAGAGTGGCTAAAAGTTGAACCCAAGTAAGAGTAAAACTTATATATAATAAAAAATATTACTCAAGAAGAAGAACAAAGTAGTGGTCTAAGAAACTCAAGTAAGACTCAAGTACGAGTAACTTAAAGAGGAGCTGTCGATACGTAATATTTGATTTATAATTAAAAATAAATACAGAATATAAAAAAAAAAAAAAAAGCACAACATCTGGTCGTTTCAAAGGACAGCGTAAGAGTATTGATTGGCAAGAATACTCAAGCAGGAGTAAAAGTACAATTTATTTAAAAACTGAGTACGACAGACCTCTGCTTCTGAACTCATCATGGTGACTGACCTACAGCCCCCTCTAGTGGAAGAGGCAGGTGAAGAAAGAAACACCCCTGGAGAAGATCAATCATGTGCAGAACTTGTGGCCCTAAATAAAAATAAAAGAAATTTGAAAAAAAAAAAAATGTTGATGTCACATACACATACACACACACACACACACACACACACACTGCTGGCTCCTGATTGGCTGATATGGGCGCACAGCAGGGCACCACACCCATTGGCCCTGGTCTGACTTTGTACTGGTTCTTTTGTGTTTGGTGAATGAGACGTGCACAGAGGTGAGTGAAAACAATACACCACAACATATTTTTATTTATTAGAGAAAAATTTGCACTCCATTTCACTTTAAAATTACAAAATATATTCTGAAATAAAAATGACTTGTATAGCATTGAGATATTTCTTATTTTTAATATTACCTTTCAAAAAAATATCTGCCAGTGTGGTAAGAATTCCAGTTTTATTTTTGGTCTAAGTTGTATGAAGTGGCAGATTGATTCAAGATGCAGTAAGTAACTTTTCTGGTGAAGGGTCCACTGTCAGCTTGTTTCCATGGAGATGTTATTGCCTTGTCTGGAATGTTCCACAGTATGGCATTAAACATATCTATATTCATGGAGACAAGCAGGTGATGCGAATGTGTGTTTGACAAGGTTTCTTTTGCTATTAAAAAGTTGCAGTTAGTTAACATGAGATTAATGCTGTACTGTGGAGTATTCCAGGTACAGTAGTAACATCTCTTACATAGTGCACTTTTAAGATTAAATAATATCAAATAAACACATAAAAACAATCAAACATTCTGATAAGAGAAACCGTAACAACTGCACATTAAGAAGTTTTTTTTGTTTTGTTTTAATGTTGTTGTGCATTACCTTGAGTCTGACAATTCAATATAATATCAGGATATTTACTGATACTAAAACAATGGATGATATATTGCAATTTATCAGTGATTACTTATTTATTTTTTATTTTATTTATTTATGCATTTATTTTGGGCAAGATTTACATTCTTATACAATGGAACATAAAACGTAGTGAAATCATAATACAAATGAAAATAACAACTAAAAATTATTATTATTATCATTATTTTTTGCCCAAAAAGGAGTGGGAAGAAGAAAACTTATTTAATCCCACCACTACTCTTCATAATCTAACACAATGATCTTTCCTTTGCATTTTTCAGACATTTTGAATTAAACTATAATGTCAACTACACCTTCAAAAGAACACAGTTGTATGAAATATAAATATATTTTATGAAACATATTTTAAATCATGAGAATATTAAATGTAACTAATGATTTTTTGTGAAAAATATTATCTAAAAAATCCTTTTGGATCCATTTTGAATCGATTTGAGAATTGTGCACCTCTAGTTGTTGTCTCCTCAAAAACACACCTGGAGTTGTGTTTTGTTTCATTCACACATGTTTGAGTAACTCTTTATTATTAGTCTGTTTACATCTCCAAAGCTCTAAATGCTCTGTTCCACCTTGTGATGTCATGAAGCGGTAGTTTTCAAGTTCACAGCTACTTTTTATGTTTAGCTCAGTAGAGATCGGCAATAGAGTCTTTGCACCTTCACGCGGTACCTATTCCACCATGACACCAGACACACTATGTCATTGACTTCAGCAGCATCGGAGAAACATGGGCAGGTTTTGTTGTGTATTTGGTTGTTCTCGACGCTCTGAAAGGGTTAAAACGATTCTTTTCTTCACTGTTCCTCTGGAAATGACTCATCAGGATCGAACAAGGGAATTATCGAGAAAAAAACGGATTATGGCTCGAGAACATAAACCGTGAAGAGATTTCCAATGGTACCATCAAAACAGTTTCATCAAGGTATTTGTATTTAAATAGTTTCATAGTTTATTTAATGAAAGAAGCACATTTACTAAAATAAAATTTCATTAATTTATCCAGGAAAACCCGCACTAGTTTACGATTCAATGAACCCACACAGGGCTCCTCTGATCAACATGGCGCACGAGTCAAAGAGTCTGTGAGCCGAACCTTGAAAGAATCCTCCTGAAAAGATCCTCGCGAACGTTAGAAAGATCCACTCACAAAAAGTGATTAATTCTAGAAGACACAGTTGTGGATAAACAAGACAATAAAGAAAACATGGGTCCTACGACGAGTGACATGTTTATATGTGCTGGAACATACGGTTTCTACTGCCACTCACACTGCAAATGTTTTCTTTTTACATTTTAGTTCAGTAAAAGTGCTTCTTTCATTAAATAAACTATGAAACAATTTAAATAGCAAATACCTTGATGAAAGTGACGTGAGTGTGTCTTGATGGTACCATAGGAAATCTCTTCGCGGTTTATGTTCTCTAACTATAATCCGCGTCTTTTTCTCGATAATTCCCTTGTTTGATCTTGATGAGTCATTTCCAGAGGAACAGTGAAGAAAAGAATCGTTTTATTCCTTTCAGAGCGTCGAGAACAACCAAATACACAACAAAACCTGCCCATGTTTCTCCGATGCTGCTGAAGTCAATGACATAGTGTGCCCGGTGTCACGGTGGTGTAGGTACCGTTGTCGTGGGGACACGTGACGGTGCAAAGCCTCTATTCCAGATATGAAATCATCCAAATGATTCTAGTGAAGGTGTCCGAAGTTTAAAAACGCAAAGGAGCACATCCTGTATTACCACGTGACATCACAACGTTGAAGAGAGTGTTTTCTGTTTGAGTCTAAATACGCAGGGCTTGTGAGTTAAACATGAATGAAACAAAACAAGTCCAGGTTTGTTTGTGATGAGGAAACATTAGAACATAGATCAGAAAACAGCATCATATTGGCTCTTTAACTGATATTTAGAGTATTTATAATGACTAAAAGTTACGTTGGCCTCTGCTCACGTGTGGTGTCTGTTTCTCCTAGAGGTGAGAGGTCATGACTGAGACTCCTCCCACTGAGACTCCTCCCATTCCTCCCACTCCTCCCATGTATTCGTACCACGATTACTTTGAAACCCTAGCGCCTCTCGAAGAGACCATCGCTGGACAGACCACTGGTGAGAGCACAAACTGTCAAAACCGACCAGGCTTATGTTTAAAGATGATATATTGTGCTTGTGTCTGCAGTTTAGTTATAATTTATGACACTCGCGGTTCATCGTGTGATCATTTGCACATTTTAAATCGCAGTATTCATCCAAAATGACAAATCCGCTGAGTTCCCCGTTAGAAAAATGTGGTGCCACAACAAAGACCTGGATTTTTACAGTTTAAGAAAATAAAACTGGAGAACGAAGTAGGTCCGAAGCAGTGGTCGTGTACCGGTGGAGCTGAAAACAGGAGTTGGTTGTCGAAATAAGCGATTAATAGTTGGAAGAGAAATGCACGAATCGCTCCAAATACAATTTCGAGAGTGTAAATGAAAAGGAAACAACGATTAAAAAATGTTAAAGTTCTAAAAAGTCAATCTTGTATTATAGGCCCACTTTAAATTTCAGACAATATGATATGATAACGATCAACATTTGTGAAGCAACGAAAAGTTAGTTAGTTTGCCGTAGACTTATAATGACATTCGCCCTTCATCTGAAATACTTTTTGATATCATTCTAGAGTAGCATGAGTGTAGATCTATTCATGGGTTTCTGACTGCAAGGACGTAGGTTTGGTCTCAGTTTTGGCGGGAACATTATCAGCTAACCCCCCATGAAACCAACTGATAGATTACTTGATTAACAGATGAATTATATAATATTGTTGACTTTTCATATGATGCACACTGCAAAAACCAAACAGCACATCTTTATACATAAAAAAAGGGGTCAAATGGGATAAAAAGTTGTGTTTATGTTTTATGAATTCTTTCCAAAACAAGTGAAAGTAAGTGAGAGCTGTTTTCATTTTTCAGTTTGTGCCCATTGTTCTTCTAAGATGATTGTTTAGTGGAGAACAGTGATGTAGAAGTTTGTAGTAGATTTCTCTTTGCTTGTTGGTGATGAGATATTTGTGAGATCATGTCCATACATTTTTCCATGGAATATTGTCAGTAGAGACAAGTTTAATTGAAGATGAAGCCAAGTAAGTTCCTTTTGAAAAGTTTTTCAAAGTTTGGTGCAGCGTCTTCACTCACACCTGCTCAAGCCGACATCTCCGGGTGTGGCCCTGTCCTGCCACTTCCCCAGTTTAGGCTCCTGGCTCCACTAATGACATCACTCTGCTGCAGCCAATGAAACAGTGGCAGGTGTAACCCTGTCGTCATATCACTGAATCAGGGTAGCCGCGGGGTCTTTAAAGTCTTACAAAGGTCTTAAATTCCATGCTCCTAAACTAAGGTCTTAAAAAGTCTTCAGTTATGTTGTCCAAGTCATACTTAAATTTCATTTGCCTATTTTTTTTTTTTGTATTCTCAACTAGGCTGCAGTGCAATGTTAAATGGAGGGGGGGAAAAAAACAATGATGTGAAATCAGGTAACGTGAATGAACGTCTAATTTGGAGTCTGCACAATCAATACTTTGGTTTCAGTAGAGTGGAGGAAGACATTGAATGGATCATGAGGAAGTGTAGGGTTAAATTCTAGATATAGTAGTTGGTTGGTCATTGTTAGAACTGGATTTGGTGTTTTTCGCCTGCATAATGGGTGTGAAGTTGGTCTTAATATTCATTTAAGTCGTCTTAAAAAGCTCTTTAAAAAGTCTTACATTTGGGGTAGTCAAACCTGGGGATACACTGTGAATACATCAGAACATCTAATAAACAAAATGTGAACTAAAACCTGTTCAATTAATACTTCTGAGTTTGGAAAAATACTAGAATTATTAAAATAAAGTGGCAAATATTGGTGGGGACTATTTTGTCTTCCCCAGATAGTGGCTGTGACATGTCCCCACCGTCCCCATGCAAACCTACGCCCTTGTCTGACTGATACAAATTTGGACCGTTGTCATAGCGATGAACTCATTAAAATATAATATGTGTGTATCTGTTTGAATGGGGAAAAGTCCTTAAAATGGCACCATGTAACAAGCAGAAAACCATGAATAGAAAAAGAAACCACACTTTTTTAGATAAAAAGGATACAAATAAATAATGAAGTTCATCAAAAAGGACAATTATGTAAAGCAGTTGATGTGAGGAGCAGTGGACATGAACAGAAGAGTGTGTTTGTTATCAGGTCGGCCCACGCGTTCATGCCCAGGCCGAGCTGCTCCTCTCTGGGCAGGACCTCTCCTCGTGTGGGGCTGGAGCTCTGGAGATAAGGACCCAAGACCAACACAGTCTCACTCTAATATTAAACTCAGTGTGGGGTTTTGGACGAGAGATAATTTTGTATAATTCAACTTTTGTAACCGTCAAACAAGTAGCAAGAGTTTAAAAAACAAATGGACTTTTTCAAGCTTTTAACCATGTGGATTTGTTTTTCCATGTTTTTTTAGTGTCTGTTTTTTGTAATATTTTTCCTAGTTCTGTTTTTGTAAGTTATTCTTATGTTTTGTAGATGTTTACGAGTTAAGGGATTTCTTTTTGCTTCCAACACCAACACTCAAAGTCAGAAATAAGTAAAAACATCTTTAGTCTGTGAAAAAATCCCTCAGTCGTCCAGGTAGAATCAAGGCAAAGAAGAAATTCAATTTGTCAAAATAAACTTTGTCCAGTTGATAAATTGAATTACTCCTTTGCCAAACATCTTTAGTCCTTAAGTTCATTTTCCGTGTTCTTCCTAAAAAATGTTGTGATTCATTTTGGTTGTAACAGCCCCAAAAACAACAGTTATTTTATGTAAATCAATTTTAGTGGACGACTTCATCGAATAAAACACACGCACACTTTTAAACTCAAGCTTTTTTAATGTCTGAGAAAATGTCTTGAAAAATAAATTTACATTTCATTTCAAAACAGTAGACAAAGGTAAAGTCCTTGTCCAGAACTGAAGAGACTAAAGTTAAAGTGACATTTTACTTTAAGTTGTTGACTAGGGATGTCACAATAACCAAAATATCTTGATATCGTATCGTCAAAAGTCTCACCATAATATCGAATCACAAGTTCCTTTACTTCAATCCATTGTTTTATAGCAGCAACAGCTTATAAACATCGGAAACTACATATCCCATGATTCATTTCAGCACAGACAACATGAAGAAATATGTTTTTTACTTAAATTCTTAGGATAATGATGAAAATAATTCACACCAAAATCTTGTCAAGTTATTTTAAAGGCAACAAAGTGTCTTATCTACAATTATATCAGCCTCTCCAAAATATCGCAATAAATATCGTACCGTGAGCTGCAAATTGTGATAATATCGTACCGAGAGATTTGGATATCGTTACATCCCTATTGTTATTGACTTGCAAACTCTTTTCTGCACAATTTGCAATAAACGACGCCTGTCAGTACTTCCATCGGGTCGTTTTTTTAAAAAGAAATTTACCGTGCAGCAGACCCAGAGGCTTTCATGCTCCCCTGTTGTCGTCGGAACTGTGTGCATCAGTATAAGTGGTGTATCACAACATGGTGCAGTGACAAATCTTCCGCGTTGTTTGGCAAACAGCAATAAAATGCTCTAATATTTCATGCATTTTCTTTGTAATTAATGAATCGTAATTAATGGGTTAATGTCCCACCCCTACTTTCACGTCATTCAAACTGGTATTAGTAATCCTTTAGAAAACCGTCAACAACTTCCCAGGATTGTGACGTCATAGATAAAAGCCGTGCGTAGTTTTTAAGTCCATAAACTCTCGGCAGACTCATTTGAAATATTTCTGCCGTCAAATCCCTTTAAGTTCATTACCGCTGAGTGTTTATATAGTCGGACATGTTTCCCATTACGCTGTTTAATTGTTTTTGCTGTTGTAATTCCTTCTGCTGCCACTAGATGGAAAGCTGCAACAGATCCGAGTATGGGGAGCACTGAGGGTGTGAAAAGTATTTTGATTAGCCATTATTTAAAGTTTTTAAATCATGAAAGTCCACATTGCCAAGAGTATTTTGAGACTTGTACAGTGTGTTTAAGCAGCTTTGACATTTTCACAGTTTTGATGATTAAAATGGGTTTAGTTTGTATTATTATTCACTTTGACTACTACTTTGACTACTACTAAACTACTGCTGAGTACTTGCACACTGATTGTTTTTTGATCGCAGACTGAAAACTCAACTGAAACTTATATAACATGCTCTGATTTGTCTGTTGTCTTGACAGGTGGTATGTCGCCCGCCATGATTGGAGGTAAGTCTGGTTGTTGTGTACCGCAGTTATGTAATCAGAGTACAAATGATGAGTAACTGTATTCAGTTACAGTTACTGTTTCAGTGAGTGGTAATTGGATTACAGTTACTTTGTTGGAATAAATGGATTACACGGCGCAATTTTCCTGTTTTTACATTTTGGGCTATATCCCCCCCCCCCCCCTTTTTTTTTTTTTTGTCCCGGTAATTTTACTCTTTGCCAGAAACTAAACCAGGTCTAAACTAGATCTAAACCAGGTCTTAAACAGGTCTAAAACCAGGACTAAAACAGGACTAAAACCAGGTCTAAACTACAGCTAAACTAGATCTAAAACAGGTCTAAACCAGGACTAAACCAGGACTAAAAAAGGACTAAACCAGGTCTAAACTAGATCTAAACCAGATCTAAAACAGGTCTAAAACAGGTCTAAACTAGATCTAAACCAGGTCTTAAACAGGTCTAAAACCAGGACTAAACCAGGACTAAAACAGGACTAAAACCAGGTCTAAACTACAGCTAAACTAGATCTAAAACCAGGTCTAAACCAGGACTAAACCAGGACTAAAAAAGGACTAAACCAGGTCTAAACTAGGTCTAAAACCAGGTCTAAACATGGACTAAACCAGGACTAAAAAAGGACTAAACCAGGTCTAAACTAGATCTAAACCAGGACTAAACCAGGTCTAAACCAGGATTAAACCAGGACTAAACTACAGCTAAATTAGATCTAAACCAGGTCTAAAATAAGTCTAAAACCAGGTCTAAACCAGGTCTAAACCAGGTCTAAACCAGGTCTAAACCAGGACTAAAACAGGACTAAAACAGGACTAAATCCTGCTGTGTGGACGTGTCTCCTCGTCTTCTATCAATAATATTTTTAATTTGGTTCAGTAAAGTCTGGACTTTTTATTTTCTTTTAGCAGATAAAACTTCTTATGTTATGATATCCTCGTCTTTGCTTCTCTACAGAAAATCAAGTAATCCAAAGTATTCAGATTACATTACTCACTTTAAGTAATTTAATGGATTACGGTACAAACTACATTCTGGGGTGTGTAATCTGTAGGGGAATACATTTTAAAAGTCACCTTCCCAACACTGACAGCGGGGTGTGTTTGTGAGCAGGGATCTCTGGAGCGATCCTCGTGGCTCTGCTCGCCGTCGCCGCCCTGCTGTTGTGGTACATGTACCGCCAGACGGGCTCATACTCCACCACCGAGGACAAAGGCCGGGACTCGGACCAGGAGCCGGACCAGGAGCCGGGCCAGAGCAGAGACCAGGAGGAAGACCAGGATCTAGAAGAGAAGGAGGAAGAAGAAGACGAGGAGAGCGCACAGCCACCGACCACTGGAGAGGAAGAGTCTTCGTAATCGAAACTCACATTTTTTATTTATATATTTTTATCCATTTGTATTTTTTTTTTATTTGTTTTTTAATTCATATTTGGAACAATTTCAGTCTTCTTAAAGTGCATCTAACAGAATATTCTAGAACAGAGGTGGACAATTCTTTTTTCCATGGGGCCACATGAGAAACAGAAAATATTGTGGAGCCCAAAATACTTAACTAAATTCTGCATAATATGAATTGTATTTCTTTATAAAAATCAGTAAATATCATTGTTTTGTTGAGCTGGCCAGACTGGGAAGAGTTTATGTTCTGACTAAGCAATGAAAAAGTGAGGTTGCTTTACAAAAAATGTCACTTAAAAAACACCTCTTTAATAAAAGCAATGCAGCTTTAGTCCATGCATGAGGTCAAATGATAAAATATGTTTATTTTGTAATTCCAAATGAATGAATTTTGGACATATGGCCTCATTTCTTAGTGAGCCAGAGTGTTGGAGACGTGTGGAGACACTTTTTGAAATATTCCATCCAGTCCTTGTATTTGCAGAGGTCACTGGTGCTAGGCTAGTGCATGTCAATGGCCATAGTTAGCCTGTTACTAAAAACAGTCTTACCCACTCCACAAAACACCCAAAACAAATCTATTATTACACCAGACTGTCCATGTGAATGTCTGTGTTGATAGAATAATGTCTGAAATAAAACCAACCTTGCATTTGAAGGATTTCTGTCTGAGCAGCAGTGAGTTGTACATCCTGATAGAAAGCTCGGCAGCGGCGGACTGATATATGAGAAAATAGTCCCTCAACATGTGACGATTCATGCGACACAAAGTTAGTTTTATTTCAAACATTATTCTATCAACACAGACATTTACATGGACAGTCTGGTGTAATAATAGATTTGTTTGGGGTGTTTTGTGGAGTGGGTAACACTGTTTTTAGTGGCAGGAGAACTATGACCATTGACATGCACTAGTCTAACACCAGTGACCTCTGCAAATACAAGGACTGGATGGAATATTTCAAAAAGTGTCTCCACACGTCTCCAACACTCTGGCTCACTAGGAAATGAGGCCCTATGTCCAAAATTCCAGACTGTCCCTTTAAACATAATATAGTAAAGTTTAGTTTATTTTCATACCGTTTCGACTGCTCACTTAGGGATTTGTGATATATCGTTTCCAGTATCGGTATCGGTCAGTATTATTATTATTATTTATATATTTATTTCGGTCACAGGGATATTTTAACATTATTTAACAGACAGTCATATTTAACATACACAGACCGAAAAGGTGCAGGCTGAACCTTGACGCCGCCATGACACCAGGCACACTATGTCATTGACTTCAGCAGCACCAGAGAAACATGGGCAGGTTTTGTTGTGTATTTGGTTGTTCTCGACTCTCTGAAAGGAATAAAACGATTCTTTTCTTCACTGTTCCTCTGGAAATGACTCATCAAGATCAAACAAGGGAATTATCGAGAAAAAGACGCGGATTATAGTTAGAGAACATAAACCGTGAAGAGATTTCCTATGGTACCATCAAGACACACTCACGTCACTTTCATCAAGGTATTTGCTATTTAAATTGTTTCATAGTTTATTTAATGAAAGAAGCACTTTTACTGAACTAAAATGTAAAAAGAAAACATTTGCAGTGTGAGTGGCAGTAGAAACTGGATCTTCCAGCACATATAAACATGTCACTCGTCGTAGGACCATGTTTTCTTTATTGTCTTGTTTATCCACAACTATGTCTTCTGGAATTAATCACTTTTTGTGAGTGGATCTTTCTAACGTTCGCGAGGATCTTTTCATGGCCGATTCTTTCGAGGTTCAGCTCACAGACTCTTCGACTCGTGCATCATGTTGATCACAGGAGCCCAGTGTGGGTTCATTGAATCGTAAACTAGTGCAGGATTTCCTGGTTAAATTAATGAAGTTTTTGTTCAGTAAATGTGCTTCTTTCATTAAATAAACTATGAAACTATTTAAATAGCAAATACCTTGTTGAAACTTCAGGTGTCTTGATGGGACCATTGGAAATGTCTTCGTGGTTTATTTTTGCTAGCTATAATCTGTGTCTTTTTTTCGATAATTCTCTTGTTTGATCCTGATGAGTCATTTCCAGAGGAACAGTGAAGAAACGATTCATTTTATCCCTTTCAGAGCGTCTAGAACAACCAAATACACAACAAAACCTGCCCATGTTTCTCTGATGCTACTGAAGTCAGTGACATAGTGTGCCCGGTGTCATGGCGGCGTAGGTACCGTATAGGGGTCACATGACGGTGCAAAGCCTCTATTCTCCACATAAATACATGGTGTTATTATTCTTAACTTAATTTTCCTGGTGGAGGGTCTGCTAACTGCTTTACTCCGTGGAGATGTTATTGCTCTGTCTGGAATGTTTCACAGCATGACATTTAACCTTTTTATCTTCATGAAAACCAAACCAGGTCAAGTTGCAGGTCGGATCTGCGGAGAAGCGACCCCGCTCACAGTCAGAATGTCTGTCTGTAGATCTGTTTAATGTCACACTGTGGAACATTCCAGGTAGAGCAATAACATACACAAAGAAACAAGCAGATGACGGAATCTCAACCAAAAATAGTGCACCTCTAAGATAAATCTGTGGGGTTTTAAAAGCAAAAAATTTGTATCGACACATATCGGATATCGGTATCGTGTTAGGAAACCCATATCGGTCCTTCACCATGCTCACCAGCTTCGTGGTTTAAACAGGTCTTGGTGGAGTCTCCCTACAGGTGGAGGCAGAACAACAGCGCCCTCTGCAGTCCCACTTCTTCACGACCGTATCCTCTAAGTGTTAAAAGTCAGAATTAGAAAAACATGAAAACAGGTCAAAATTCAATGAATGTAATTTATTTCCTTGTTTTTTTTTCATGGTGTAAATATATGAAGTCACATTTTTACATTTAGGAGACTTTTTTGTTTGTTTTTTGTTTTTTAAACCATGTCAAATTTGAATAAAATAAAATATCCTACAATCTGTTATGTTTCCAAACTGTTTACATTGATACATTGTTTTGTGACAAATAGTTTTGAGAGAAATTTGTGTTTAAAAAAAAAAAAAAAAAAAAAAAAGGTTAAAATGACTGAGGATATGAGGTAAAACTGAGTCAGGTCTTGGGATAAATAAAACAACCGGATTAAAGCCTGACCAGGATTGATCATTTTCAAAGTGTCCTATGAAATCTTTTATACAGAAAAAATATATCAGCATAAACATCATTTTTGTAAATACTCAATCCAGAATACAGTTTTGAAATTTTGCCTTAAAAATACCCCAAAAATATGTAGAAATTATAACAGGAAGAATGAAGAGTAAAATAGAATCGTCCATGAACTTTTTCCATTTCTTTTCTTTTTAGTATGAATCTAATAATACAGCTTTTAAAGAGGGAAATGTATATAAACTGTTAAAACTTGAAAAATAATGTACCATCATGATCTATTCTTTTTACCTCTAAATATATCTGCCATATGCATTTTTTTAATCTCCCCTGTTTATATGACTTTGATCCAAAGCAAATGGTTTAGATTTCAGTATTACCTGTTATATTATTATTCCTATTTGCATTTTCACATCAAATATTTCAATAGAAAAGGGGACGTTCATTTATTTAGGGTCAGGCACAAGAAAGTGGAGTCCCGACGCCCTCTGGTGGTGACTTTTAAAAATTAAATTAATAAGTAAAAGCAAGAGAGTGAGCTTCTATTTTCCTTTCCCATATACAGTACTGTACTAGTACTATACTACTATACTACTATACTATAGTACTATAGTACTGTAATGTACACAGCATGAAAAGTAATTTGAAGGGCCTTAATGTGCATAATGTACTGTATTTCATACAACAGTACTGCGAAAAATATGTAAATGAACTGGAATTTGTAATATCTCAAGTAATATTGTACAGTATAACAGTACTTTTACTTGAATAATATATTACACAGTATAACAGTACATTTACTTGAGTAATATATTGTACAGTGTAACAGTACTTTTACTTGAGTAATATATATAGTACAGTGCAACAGTACTTTTACTAGAGTAAAAGTTGTGCTTCCTCCTCTCACTGTGAGTGAGTCTAAAGTGACATAAGTTTTATGTAACAATCTGAAATGATTTGCACATTTGTCTTAGTTTGTCTCATTTTTATGGACTGTCCTTTGAAAACTCCAGATTTTGTGCATTATTTAATGTTTTGTCCTTCAAATTCCATTCACTTCAAATTCAGTTGAAGTTACACATTTCTTGTACCACTACTTTGTCTTTCTACTTGAGTAATATTATGAAGTAAACGTACTTCTACTTGAATGTTATTTTGGATTCCTGTACCAGCACAGGTAAAAGTATTCACTCTAACACCTATTTCAGTAATTAACACGTGGTTTAAGACGACATCACGACATTCTAGAGGCAACAATATTTAGATTTTAATTGAACGTTTCAGAACTTTTAACCATATTAAGTAGTTTGCTTTACCCTCTGAGGTTGTATTTGGAGTGATTCATGTTTGAGTCATCTTTATTGTCCTGTATTCAAGATGAAAAAACAGACACAGGCCCTTTAATAAATACTTTTACTAGAAAACACAATGATCAATAGGAAAATCTGCCTCTTGCCCCCGTCTATGACATCATCACATTCTAGAATCTGAACACAAGAGAAACTTTGATCAAATTATTTATGTAGAATTGAATATTAGTCTCAAATAACTGAAGGTTTATTTTGGTGTTATGATCCTAACATTTCAAACTTGATGATTTTTATACTAAGGAACAGACTTGATTCTTAATACTGACTCCGATACCATGATGATATTTTTTTTAAAAGAAAAAAGTTAACATTGAGACCATGGCAATAAACACTGTGTATTATGGCTATGACATGAGCACCCCCTACTGGTGACACATGACAATGTCCATTCTACAGTTGGGCTAGTTTCTGGTTGGTACTAAATGCTTATTGTTATTAAAAATGTTAACTAGCACTAAAGGTGCACTGTGTAACCTTTTTGATTAAGCGTCCTCATCAGGGCTGGGGATCATTCAGAAGTTGTCGGTATGATACAAACCTCGATACATAGACCACGATACAATACATATCTGGATACAGTGCACTTCCATTCAGTACAATTCAATACAATATATTTCAAATCAATTCGATATGGTTCAGTAAAACATAATGACTAAATCGTGGCTGTGACACTAAAAGTCTTTGTTAAACCACTTCTTGTGGTTCATATGAAAAACACCCATTTTAATCATCAGAAGAGTAAAAATGTCAAATATGTCACATAAATCAGTTTCCTTCCTCTAAACAAGCAACAAAACTGTAGCTGTAACTAAATAATTTTG